CTGTCATGGCACAAAAGCTACAAAGGGAACTGGGTGCCAGTTGGGGTACCCGACAGTGTATTTTTGGTCTTACTCAACAAGATCTACCGATTGTTTCTCCCCACACTGGGTGTTTAGCTTAGGTGCATGTATGATCCCTTCATGTGGAAGGCCAGTAACACAGTGGAAGGAGGGTTGCCATCTTGTATTTGTTGTGTTTCTTTCTTGTGCTTTGAAAGTCTGTAGGGATGAATGGGTCTCCTAGTTAACTCCCTGCCCCCTTTCTAATTCTATTTGGTTCTTTTGCTTTCTGGGAGTCCCCCAAAGGGATGTCTTCGCCATGACTCAGTCCCAAACTACCAACTCCCCATAATGAAACCCCAGACACCAAGACGGCAGAAATGTCCTTGATGAATTCAGAGTTCTTCTTTTAACAGAATTATGTCTATATAGATGACTCAAATAAGCAGGTGTTCTAAGGAAGTCTATCTCCTGACAAGACAGTCCCCAAAGTGAGCAGAACAATGAATTGGAGAAGGAAGTCCAAAAACAGAGAAAAAAAAATCAGCAAGGAAATCGAACACGCAGTTCTGTAAGTGAAAGAATCAATTGGTTAAATAAAAGCTACATTAAAAAGTGTCGGCACTAGACAAGCCTACACAGAGGAACGAATTTCAGAGACAGAGGACAGAGTAGAGACAATATGCCCAGACACAGACAAAGGAAGACAACTGATGAACGGAACAGGAAGGAACCCTGAACCTTTGGAAATCTGCTTTGTGTACGAGCTTTTGGCTGAGGATCTTTTTTCAAAGTGCTGGTGTGTCCTGGCCTTCTGCTCCTCTGCTCTCTGTCTGAGGCCCTCGAGCAAGCCCCAGGGGCTGACTCCAGGCAGCAAGCCAAGGCCCAGCTGAAATCCTGCTTCATTCAGGCAGCTCTTCCTGACTCCTGAGTGGGTGTGCTCCCTCTCTCTCTCCTGGAAACTCCTACAGTTTAATTTCCTCTTGGAACGCTCCTCAGAATCTGCCTAATATGGTAGCAGGTACATTATGTTTTCATCAGACCCTGATTCCTCCTCACAGGCAGGGTCTACGGGTCACTGCTGGGTTTCCTGAGTATCTAAGTGGGAATCTGGTACATGATATGTGTGCAGCCTACATGTGGAAGGGAACCAAGGTTAGTGTACTGAATGTCATTAGACCACCTCCAGCTCGGGTTCTGAGCAGCAAACCGCAGGTGTGAGACACACACCTGGTGCTTCCCCGTCCACTAGTCCTTGTTTGTGTCACCTGTCACAATGTCGAATGTCAGCGCTCTCCCTTCCTTGTCCTATTTTTCCATGTCACTGATTGACACTTATAAGATACAGTACTAAAAAAAATTGCTATGATATTAGTTTGAAGATGAGCCACAAAGCATTAACAACACACCTGCTTCTCTTTGGCACCATGTTTGATCTGCAGATGGAAGCTGCAGTCAGCCAGGAGCTCGCACTGGTGAAATCCTGCCTCTGTCGTGTGTGCAGAGGCAACAAGTGGAATGGAGCAATCGCCTCCGTGGTATTACCCCACAGGTCAGAGATGGATACTCCATCTCTCGTATCGTCTTTTACAACTGGCTATACAAGTCAATGGTATAAATGTTTCCTGAACAGCTTCAGAGTACCAAACATCATGCTAATTGCCAGACACAGAACGGATCGTGCCCTCACACAGCTCAAAATACAGAAGGAACCCAACAATCACATGGGTAATTGAAATACATGGATAACTAGTAATCTCCATGCAACTAAAAAGTATTATGTTTACAGTTCATTTCTGTCCCCTAATCAATTATAATCTGGGGCTCATTCTCTGGATCTAGCTGACGTATTAAAAACGAACTAGCAAAAATTAAAAAAAAATCCACTAATAAGTACCTACTAAATTTCATAGGCTGCTAAATTGCGAGGTCCTCTTTCACAGGACCAGGAAGATGGCTCAGTGGGTAAGGGCACTTTCAGGGAAGCCTGATGACCTGAGTCCAATTCCTGGAACAGGCATGGTGGGAAGAGAGAACTAACTCCTGCCAAGTTTCCTCTGACCTCCACACATGCATGCTGTGTGCACACTCATGCTCCCCAAAATAACTAAAGTTAAAAAGAATCCTCGACAATGTCTGACTGAGCGTCCTGTCCTCGCGCAGACCTCAGCTGTAAATAACAACGGCAACAGAGCTAAGAGCTTTCCTGCTTGCAGCCGGACACTGGGAGGCAATGAAATCTATTATCACACTTAATCCTCAGAACAAAACATGAAAGCCATTCTCACCCTTGTTTTACACACAGGGAAGCAAGGCTTGAAAAGTTAAAGGACCCTTCCAGAGTCAATCGGTGTGATATAGAATTTGGAACACGTATGAATAGCTTCCACTAGGGTTGACACATGTATAATGTTTTTATAATCGGTTGTGTACTGTACACTTCCAATCCTCCCCTCCTGACAAATTCTGGGAGACCAATGGACAAATGTCATTTTCTTTTTATTTCTTCAGGGTCTTGAATATAAACATAAGAGCCTCCGTACCAATGAACAGAAAGTGTGTAGCCTAGTAATACCAGGTAAAGGAATCCAGACACTGAAAAATCACTTCACTTCACATGTGGCTGCCAGCACCCAAGACGGTCTCCAGCACCTCCTGCTAAATGCCTTCTTGTGCAGTTCCCTACCACAATGAATCAGTGCTGTCCTGTGGGCAGCTGGGTCTATTCCCTGGCTGTGTCAGGAAAGGTAGCTGACAGGTGGGAAAAGCCGACAGCCCCATGGGGAGACCCATAGGGCAACTGACTTATCACCTGTGGCTGGTTGACTACTGCAGATAGCTGCTTTTAGGGTAGCGTGTCTTACCCTGGAATGTCTCGGTCAGCATTGGATTCTAATGTCAGGATAAATTATGAACCAAACCCACAGAAGTATCACTTCAGAGGACTTAAGTACAGAACATTTGTTACACAGCATACATGGCCAATGCAAAAGACACTGAAGATTATGCCACAAACAAAGAATGGTAGGAGACAGAGGCTCCAATGGAGTTATGAGAAGAAAATAGATAAAGCAATGACAAGAACATGAGGGAACCTTGCATGAAGGCAAGCACATCCCCATAAAAAAATCTCAGAGTTAGAAGAAATCTTAACAGCCATTTTGTTTGACCACTCACCCATTTAAAAAATACTGAAGTTAACTCAGGGCTTGCACGAATTTAACCTGAAATCCAGACAACTGACTTCCTTGAGCTGGCCCGCACACAGTGAGGGCTGGGGACACAGCCGCTCCCTGTTACCTATGCTTCATTTTCCATGGTCTTAGTTACCTCTGGTCAATCACAGTCTAATGATATTACATGGGAATCAGAGAAATATGTAGTTCATAAGTTTCAGATAACTTTCGCTGCAGTATGCTGTTACAGTAATACACCTTTAACAATGAGGCTAAGGGAGAACACGGCACTAGTCACAACAGAGAGCACAGATTCTGCATCTGATCTGATGGCATTTCTGAAATGAACTGCACAAACTGCAGGATGGGGCAGGCACCGGAAGAATATGGTTTGCTGAGATGCTACGCAGAAGACATTTCTCTGAGCTTTTTAAACATCAAATTTTATCCTCCAAAGCACCCATATATTCTCGAATTAGCTAAGTTCTCTGCCTTTCTTTCCGGGAAGCATGACACCTCATCCTATTGGTGCAAGACAGGAATAACTGACAGACCCTAGCAGAGGGCTAAATCCCTATGCTCCCAAACTCCCCATAACAGAGGGGAAATCAGAGCATCAGGGTGAGGTGCCAGCAGGATAGAGAGAGCCCACTCCCAGGTTCACAGCACCCCTGTGCTGAGCATGGAACCACACTCTTCCCCATGTTGATGGGTGTGACTGTTCCATGAAAGAATGTATCCTAGGGAGGAATGGGAATTATTCACACTCACAACATTCTGTGCCCCGAGAGAAAGGTGTGTTACTGGTACAAGTTAATTATTTTAGGAGCTAGTAATGAATTCCTCTTTGGGGGGGGGGGCTTCCTTATGCATGTGGATATAGGCACTGGCCTTTAGCCACAGGGAAGCATTAGGAAATGCGTTAGGTGGGGAGCAATCTGTAAAAGACACCTGTCACACACACATGGTATGAAAGGGAAGGCGGGGGGGGGGCTCAGAGCAAAACCCAAAGAGATATCAGTTTAGTAGCCACATCGTATGACATCATCCTCCTGCGGAAAAAAGTATCACATGCTGGAATGAAAGTAGGAACAAGGTCTTTAGAGTTTACTTAAAATAGCTGGCTGTCCCTCTAAGAAAATAAAACACAGTTCAATTGTGTGTGTGCACGTGCACATGTGTGTAAACATGTATGTGTATGAATGCATGCACACATGTAAAACTGGCAAGGTAGAAAATACAGCAAATAAAGGCTTATAGAGGAATGATCCAGACATCTTAGCACCTCTGGGGTTAGAAAAGCCAGTCCTCCAACAATGACAAGCTGCAGCACTGTTTATGGGAATAGGCATGAAATGGATACCAACAAGAGAGTCCAAGAACATTCACCAAGATCCCATACACGTAGGGTCAGTGGAACTTGCTGGGAAACGAAGAGGATGCCCCCAGAGGTTTCTCTAGATAAGAACTGTCATAAATAATCCTTTGTCAGGAAAACGATATGATCCTTTAAAACAACTAGCTAGCTCCCCATACTGCTGGTATCATCAGCTGAGAGGCCAGCTCGGTTGCACAGAGGGGCTCTGCTGCCCAAGGCCCATGCCAAAGAGAGCAAGATGATTCAGTAACAGCAAGTTCCCTGAGAAGCAGCCTAGCAGAAAGAAGGGTATGGTGTACCCCCTGGCATTTACAGCCTTAGCACCAGATAGTGGGTGTGTGGCTAATGCGGATGCTAACAATTACAGAGCCCACACCCTGTCTCCTCGACAAGCTAGAGTCAAAGGGGTTAAGGCCCCCCTGTGTCTCGGTGCTCTCGGTTTTTACCGTCATTGAAGTCATCGCTGGCAGCCGCATGGGTGAACGGTGACTGAGCCCGGGGCTCCTCGCTCAGGGAGTAGCTGTGCTCAGCCTGGATGAGAGGCGCTGGTGATGTCGGAGATGGCTCCACCTCCATTGACACATTCTTCTCTGAGAGGAAGGGGTCATTCAGGAGCTGACCCAGGACGTTCTGGGAAAACTCATCCAGGAGCTCTGAGAAGTGCTGCAAGAAGCAGAGGAGGAAGAATTCATGTTTTCTTCATCTGACACTCAACACATACTTCAGGGCAAAGAGACGGGTGGTCACTCGCAAAATTCATTTGTCTGTTTCTGTCCATCAAACCATGGCAGTGGAAGCCGGAGAGATGACTCAGTTGGCAAAGTGCTGGCTATGCAAGTATGAGGACCTGAGTCTGATCACCAGTACATACATGAAAACACAGGCACGGTGCTGTCTGTAATGCCAGGGCTGGGAATCAGAGACTGGTGGACTCCAAAGGCTGCTGGCCAGTCAGACCTAATTAAGGAGCCCCAGATCCCTGTATGAGACACTGCCTCACAGACACAGTGAGTAGCCTCTGAGGGCACTAGGGTTGCCCTCTGGCTGTACATAGTTAGTGTTTTCAACTAATCATAACCTATCATTCTTTGTCGTTCTGTGGGTTGTCTGGGTGAGAAACTGACTTCACAGAGGTACCATGATACAGTCACACTGAACTGCATGCTTGGCTAGGGCCTGGGCTCAGGCAGCTGGACACCTGGGCCCTCAGTCAAACCTGTTATACACTAAGCTAAGGTCAGTGTATGGTTCCCTAAGCAGCCTACACTTCTGGCCTGATGGACTGACCGACGGCGAATATTATGAGGTGTTGGATGGTGTTCCCTTTGAGAACAAAATCACAGTAACGGAAAGGGAAGTAAATAATGCAAACCATAAGATTCAAGAGCAAGAACTGATCAGAGCCTGCCCGTTTCCAAACCACAATTCCATCCCGAGCTACAAGGTCGACGCTGGCTTGGACAGGCTGGCTCTGCTAAGCCTCTAGAACACCGTTCCATCCGGAGGCAAGGCAAAGCTGCCTAGGCTGGCCTGCTCTGCTGACACCCTGTTTTCATTTCTGGAGCAGCACTAATGAATGTTTTCATGAACATCCTCTCGATAACCAATAATAAACCCCCGGCTCTGTTTGCCCTCCTCAGGCTCCCCCTACTTTGGATGATACAGTAATTATCATGTTATGAAACAATTTAGCCCTAACGACAGTCAGCCCTGAAAATTCAGTTGTTACACCATAGCCTCCCCATCTGGAGAAAAGGAGCTCCCCAGAAGCAAAGACCAACAGTGCCTAGCCATGCACCTTGAAATAACCACTGAGTGGGTTCAGGGACAAAAGAGATGGTGCTCAATCAGTTCTACCAGATGCCACAACTTAGCCCAGCAAAATGGTGCTGGCCAGGTCTACTTGGCAACTTTGGTCTTGGGGACCTGGCAGACAGGTCAACCTCCTACAGCTGGTGAAGCGCTCAGGCCAGTAGCAGCCCATCACTGATACCAGCATTATGGGCTAGTGGTCCAAAATCAGAGAAAAGAATGAAGCGGGCTTCAAAGAGGAAGACCTTCTGCACCCTTCAGATACTTTAGCAACTAACTCGAGGGTTATATAAGCATAGTTTATATAAGTGTAGTTCAATTGCTTCAGAGATAATAGCATCACATTTTACCACCCTGCCTATTTAATCTAGCTTTGCTAGTTTACTTTCATAGCCTGCTCCATACTCAATGATCACAGAAATCTTGTGAAGTTGCCTAGCAACCCACAGTCATCTATCACAAAGCCTTGTACTAGGGTTCTCTTATTTCTAATCGATGGGATCCCCCCCCCCCCCTTGCTTCTCCCAGGAAAGAGATATTTGAGTCTCACAATCAAGCTGCGTGGAAAGTTCCTCGAAATAGTTTAGGTGGCATGGTAGGCTTGCCTGGATCCTCTCCTACTAGAGAGACACACCTCTAGATCAATGAGAACACTGCGGACTAGGATAACCCAGTACTTTGCCCAGGGTTGTGCTGTTGATGAAGCATGGGACTGAGGATGCATGCCAAGCCTAAGTGTCTCCACATTCCGTGCCCTTTCTTCTACAGCATGCTCACTGGAATCTGCCTCTAATGCTAAGCAGACAGACTCACAGACAGTCCATCCACGAATGAGCACAACAGTCTTCCACATGAAATCTGTAAAACACACCAAGAGAGTGTCCAGTGGAGAGGTACCCAGTACTGCCTTCTATGCTCCACCAGCAAAGAAGGTGGAGGTATTGTCTGGCTCCTAACATGTATTTCTGAGATAGGGTTCAGAGGCATCTGGATTAAAACCTACCTCACCACATAATGTGTTTCATCCAACTCAGTGAAGACACTCGTAACTTCTTTTAAAGATTTAAGAATGGTGTCAAGAGCAATAATAAAGACCCACTATGGGAAAACTATTTTTTTTTCTGGTTAAAAGGATGAAATCTCTGGGCTGGGTGGGGACCTAATCTCCCAGTTAGGCAGGTCAATGGCCAGCCTAGGAGATCAGCCCTAGAAGGCAGTCTCACCTAAGTCAAGCTAAAGTGATAGAGTAATGGTCCCTTTAAAAAGATACCTATACATACACCACATACATTCACACACACCCCACACACAAACACAACGTAGGTGAACTAATGCTAATAACTGCTCCAAGATCTGAAGGCATGAGGGTCGGGAAGAAGAAATGAGATAGAAAGAAACTGAAGGGATTATAACGAGTTCAAATAACTGGTACACAGACTTCCTAGTTTCTTCCTCAAAGCACTCACTCCCGAGGCCACTCATCCAGTGTGGCTTTATATACAGCTCTCTGGACAAGGCACTGGGCCAGGTGAGGGGGCAGGCAGGAAAAGGGAAAATGACTAGTCTCACGTATAGATGGATCTGCAGCCCACAGTCCTGGGTGCTAACAGCCTAACAAGAAGAGAGCAGACTGGGACTCCGCGGCTGTCAACCTATCGCCTATGTGAAGCGCTCTCTCTCTCTCTCTCTCTCTCTCTCTCTCTCTCTCTCTCTCTCTCTCTCTCTCTGTGTGTGTGTGTGTGTGTGTGTGTGTGTTTGCTTTGATTCAAGGACCTACTGAACAAACTCATACATGCACTAGACCATCTTGCCTGGGACACACCCACAGCCACAGCCACACAAACCCTACTTACCCAGGCTTGCCCACCCCTGAAGTCTGTCCCAGATAGAAGGGTATTCCATGCACTACAGCTAAGCCCTGCCAACAGAGATAATAGTAATCACTCACAAATACTGGCAGCCCATGGTTAGTAACCTATTCGGCTAGGGCACTCTATAATTTTCTAAAATGTTGCATGCAACATGAAATGAGGATATATAAGCTTTCTACCCCAGAGGAGAAGGGAAAGGGCCCTCTCCTGTTGTGGGCTTGCTTGTTTTCGTTGTTGTTGTGGGGGGTTGTTTTGTTTTTGTTTTTGCCCCTGTAACCTCTACCCTAGGGGCAGTGAAGCAGGTAAAGGGGTTCAGATAGAGGAACCCCAGGGCCAGCCATCAGAAGCCCCCAATTTGTACTCATTAAGTGTCCTATTCTCTGGATCTGTGGTCTGGGAGTTAGGACTGCCTTCGCTGTGGGCCCCTGCCTGAAAAGACTGCACTTGGACAGGAAAAAAAAGAAGGCTTTGTACTTCAAAAATCAAAACTCACAGCTAGGAGCCTTACACACACAGCACAGCAGGCCCAAGGAGGGAACCACGGAAGTGGGGAATGTGGCGGGCAAACTGACAAAAAAAAAAAAAAGATTCAGAGGACACGCCTTAAACTGACTTTAGAAACAGAGGCCTCTCTCCAGCAAAACAGTCCTGGTCTGGGATAGGAGGGGCTGTCTGCAGGCGCTGGAGACCACCAGCCTGCTCTCCCTGTCCCCTCCCCCAGAGGTCTTAGACCTGAGAAGTTCTGACTCAGGAATCTGTATACACAACCAGAGGCAAGAAGGCAACATTCAAAGCTACAAGCCAAAAAGAAAGAAAAAAAGGCTGATGAGTCAAATCCCGTTACTGCCCAATTTGTTTCTGGCACTAAACTTTAGGTAATTGCAGATGTCTCTAAATTAAAAAAATAAAAGGGGCCAAGCCTTGGAGATCTTTTTATTATTAAAGGGGTTGGGGGTGAAGGTATTTGGGGGGGGGTTGATTTTACATTGGTAAATGCCATTTGTTTTATTGAAATCTAACTAGTAGTAACAAAAACTGTCTCAAGTCTTACCATAAAACATATACACTGAAGAATGTCCTATCTTGGTATGCTTTTCTTTGTAGCTAAAACAATGTAATAGAATTAATCAAATTATAAAGGCACGGGTGGATTCTATCTAGGAGAGCAACTATGATGCCACAGGTAGGTGCCACCCACAGTTTATACCCAGAGTTACCCTGCAGGAGAGGGGACAGGGACACACCAGGATTAACGAATAGTTAATGCCTGTGCATGCGACTGTCCTGCTGACATATGTCCATACACATTTTTCCACACTCCCGGAACGCACAACGCTGAGGGAAGTCTAGCATGCACTGCTGACTCTCCAGTGAAGGGTGTGTCCACGCTCATTGGCTGTAACACACGGGTCACTCCGACCCAGATGATGATCATGAATATAGCTGTCTGGGAAATCTTTAGGGTTTCTTGTTCAGTTTTGCTGTAAACCTCAAAACACTTTTCAAAGGTTTCTTGTCACCACTTATTAATCTAAATGTAAATTTTTACAGATGCTATTTGTCTGACGTCGTGCACCAGAAAGAGCAGCTTTTTAAACTGTGTAACTTTCCATCATTAAAAGAAGATACTATGAACTTTTACCAAATGTAGCCTAACCCTTAATGGCCCACAGCAGGCCTTCTTGGGTTTGCTTTATGGAAAATGCACTGTTTCCTTTGAAGACTGTCTATACTTAGTGTACACACACACACACACACGGTATGCATGTAAAAGTTCATAACTTTAAGGGAGGCCTAGCCCATCGATGGGCACCAGGGCTCCAAGAGTTCCATTCAGCTAGCACAAACAAGTTACATCTGCTTTCTGCTTGCATCACTGACATCTACAGCTGCAAATGACCCCCAAATGTGTTTCTGAGAGATTTCTGAACCCCAACTAGCCTGGAAGCCTGACAAAGAGCCTTTCCTCGAACTGCCCGG